TGGTTAGAGAATACACTGTGTGGCCTCAATCCTTTCAAATTTCCTCACCCCACATGTGGTCTTAGAGAATGATGGCCCATAAGCTCTTGAAAAGAATGTTAGATTAAGCGTTCCATAAATGCCCATTCAAGTTGGCTCAAGGTTTTGTCTACAGTTGTGGAGACAACGTTGAAGTCTCCCACTTATCAAATTCCCTCTCCAGCTGCCCATTTTTGTTTTTCATATTCTGAAGCTATGCTATTAGGTGCATACATGTTACTGTTATTAAATGACTCTTTGTTTCTAGGACTGTTCCTTTTCCTGAAGCCTACCTTGATATTAATACAGTACTTTTGCTTATGATTAATGTTTTTTCATATAGTTTTCTAAACCAGTACTTTTATCCTGTATTTTTGCACTTAAAATTTCTCATGGACAATACACGAGTCATGCTTTTTCATTCAGTGTTTCTGCTTTTAACTAGAGTGCTTGGCCCTTCAGTTAGTAAAGTTACGTAAATGGTTGGTGTGGCAGTTTTCTAGGGCTATATAACAAAACAGCAGACTGGGTGGCTTTGACAACAGGAATTTATTTTCTTACAGTCTGAAAGCACGAAGCCTGAGAACCAGGGGTGGGCAGAGCTGTGTCCTCACGTGGTTGTCCCTCTGTGTGTTTGGGTGTGAACTCATCTCTTCTTAGCAGGACACCAGTCCTATCAGATCAGAGCCACCCTGTGATTTCATTTAACCTTAATTACCTTCTGAAAAGTCCCATATCCAAATGTAGGTCCTTTTCTTCCAGATAAATTTTGGAAAACACAATCTAGCCCATAAGAGTTAGGCTTATCACATTTTCTATTGTTCTATCTGTTCTTCCGGTCTCCTTTGGGATTATTTTGCCCCCTTTATTAGTTTTCTAGCCATACCTCCTTTCCTTCCTTAGCAGTTCGCTGACTACAATATGTTCCTCTTACTTCTGACGACCTGTGTTCTGGTAAATACTGTCGCTTGCGGATGCAGCACTTGAGACACGAAGGGAGCCTCTTGGCAGCATCCGCCATTGTCCTCCAGCACACTTTTGTCTGTGTTCACTTTCTTGTTTTTGCCTTTAAAAGTTAATCCTATTTCAAAGAGTTTTTTGTTTGTATGCTTGTTTTTAACAAAGGGGGAAAAGCCTTCTTCATGTAACGTTTCTGGGTCTCATTCTTTGGTGAAGATCACTTTCCACCTGGTATCACTTTCCTTGGGCCCAAACATTTCTTTTGGGCAAGGCTGCTGGAGAATTCCTTCGGCTTTCATTTGTCTAGAAAAGGAAGGTCTATTTTGCCTTCACTTTCGTTTTGTGAATAGAGAATTTTAAGCTGACCAGTTTTTCCCTTTTAATACTTTATAACGATGTCATACAGCACAGCCTTCTGATTTGCATCATTCCTGATGAGAAGACAGCTGTCCTTCCCTTTGCTCACTTGTATATAACGTGTCTGTTTTTGACGGCTTTTAAGCCTTTATTCACCATTGGTTTTCATCAACTCATGATGTGCTCTGGAGTAGGTTTTGGTTTGGGCATGTTTGGTCTGTGTGATTATTCTATGTCTGTCGAGCATGACACATCTACGGGCTTATATATTCCATATCATGATTACTCAGATGTTTTTCTGCCTCCCTCCTACCCCATTCTGTGAGACTCCAATTATACATACGCACGTGGGAGCACGCAAGGTCATCCAACAGGTCACTGGTTTTTTTTTTTTTTTTTTTTTTTTAAGTATTCTGGCCACCACGGGCTGTTTCAGAGCTCAGCTGTTCCTGGATGGCCCAAGAACAGCCCCCACTCCTCTACTCTCCCAAGAACCAGAAAGGGCATCAAAGACATGGGGTCTCCAGTCCACTGCGTCTCACTCCCACAAAAGGCCTGGTTGTGGGGACGGTATCTGAGGCTGCCACAAGCCATGCAAACTAGCTGTTCTCCACTTGTGTCCAGCATGGGTTTCAGACACTCCCTGGGCCATCACTGTCCCTGGGGGAAGGCTGGAAATCACCTACCAGCAGTCATTGTGGAGAAACTAATGGGCGAATTATTTGCACTGAGGAAAACAGGTAACCTTACGTTATCCGTACCATCCTTATCCTCCTGAGTGGTGACAGGGGGTCTCTGAGGCAGAAGCCAAAGCCCCAGATGAAAACGCCAGGCACAAAGTTCACACACCATGGAGGGGCCTGGTGCTCTCCCGAGCAGTACCCTCAGCCTCCTCCCACCGCCACTGGTGTGGGTGCCTACAGTGGCACCCCGCTGCGAGCAGACGCCCTATGGTGAGGCTCACAACCAGTGAGACCAGCTACTGGGGCTGCTGTGTGTACGCTCCAGCCGCCGCCTAGAGAACTGAGGGCAGAAGAGCGACCGCCCCCGCCCCGCCATCCCGCCCCCCCATCCCGCCCCCGCTGGCGCCTTAAGTCCTGTCAACTCCCCTCTGCCTCCTGTTTCTACCCTTAATTCCATTTTCAAACAAAGTGAATTGTGAATAAAAAGTTCTACTGCGGATGGAGACAAAGATAAATCAAGCTAACTAATTAATCTATAATTAGCATATCTGCAGGGATAAGAAAAGAAGAAGCAACAGTGGATAGTATTAATTTTTGTAACATTTTATTGCCCAAATAAAATTTAAATGTATGTAGCAACACTGATTAGGTTCAGTAAAGAAAACTATTAGAGTTGAATTTCCACTGTGAGTTAAGGGTTTATAGTTAGGGAATTCCTCCTCACAGGGAAAGTTTAAAGTTTACACCCGGTGAATACAGAAAACTTAATATGGCTCCAGCAAAAATTTCCAGTAAATACTCAAAGTCTGCTCCCAATAACCAAAAATAATTTGAATTCAAGCATCTTTGTTGATTTGCCCAGGAAAGAGAACCTGATTTAGTCTAAAGTACAGCTGACACGAGTTTGTATTAGTTTCAGGTACAGCAGTGATTCAACCGTACACATGCTCAGCGTCCCCCACAGCAGGTGCGGTCACCACCCAACGTGACTGAGCTGTCACTGGCTATGTGCCTCAGGCCACGCTTTCTATCACCTGACTTACACATTTTGTGACTGGAAGTGTGGACTCTTCTGTTTCACTCACCTCCTATGCTCTCCCTGCTGGCAACCACCAGTTTGTTCTATATTTATGCGTTTGTTTCTGTTCTGTTTTGCCGAGAACTTGATTTTTAATTAGGCTGAAGCACATAATTTCCACTCAAATAATGACATATACCTGCTCATCTTCTAGCAGTTACTCTTATCCCCTGAAAACCCCAGATCTGTGACTGTTCCCAAGTTGAGACAAAACACAAGTGTGACCTGCTTCTAAGGGAATCACATATCTGTTTGTTAAGATAGCTGCCCACAGAAATGAATTTGCAGTATAAAAGTAGATTTTCATTGCTTAGGTTTGACCCAGTGATCTGGCCCCCTGGGAGCCTACCAGGGGCAGCGGTCACTTCAAGGGGCAGAAGCTTGCGCTGCTGCTGTCCCAGCTGGGGGAGAATAGGGGCCAAGAAAAGAAGGGCAAGAGCAAACCCAATAGATTTCAAAGGGATCCCAACAGTCCCTTCAGCCAAAATAAATCCAAGTTAAAAAATGTCTGGGGGAAAGTGCTGACACTCAATAGGTAGTCACTGAACACCCACTACGTGCCACACAGTGTGGCAGCCGGTGGAACCAGTGGGGCCACCTGTGTGTACACACAACCCAGACCCTGGGGAAGAGGAGTCAGCGGAGGAGGTCAGGCAGGCCCCAGGCAGAGTCAGGGACGGCACTCAAGGCCAGCAGAGCTGCAGGGTCAAGGCCACGTGCTGCAGTCTCGGCAAGGGCCCTGCAGGGATCTGGTCAGAGAAGGGCAGGAACGGAGGAGCACTCGGACATCAGGCTGCCTGAGGGAGCACAGTCGGGGCGGCTGCCAGCCCAGGAGGCGGCACAGAAGACCAACAGGCAGAGGGGCACGGGGGCAACACCAGACCCGGCTTTTATTCTCATCAAAGCTCTTGGTGGCTCCACACATCCTCACTCCTAGGGAAGCCCTGAGCACATGAGCCACATGTCTCAAAGGTCAACGGCAAGTCCAGAGCCCGGGTTTTTCCATCCTGGGCCCCAAACCCATGCACACCAAACCAGATTTAGAGATAGAAGGGAATTCAGAGGTTTAGCGCCCAAGAGGCACTGCCCCAGAAATCTGGCCCTCACTTCCGCTCAGAGGACAAGCCAGGACATGAGGGTTAGTGGCAGCCTAGAGGGCACCCTACGGCGCCAGGCTTGTCCAGCCAGCAACGCTGACTGCCCCACAGTGGTGACCACCGAACCACTCGTGAGCGCTCCCTGCTTGCCACACTGAGCCTGCTGCCTGAGCCTGTCATCACGAGACGCTACGGGTTAGAAGCGGGAGAGAGGGATACTGGTGCCCACAACTGGTGACCACGATGCAGCAGGGGCGAACCTGGGGTGGAGGGCACAGCCAGCAGCCACTCCCTCTGCACAGCCCCAGGCACTCAGCAAGTCTGCTCCCAGTTCCTTGCCGAGCCCAGGGCCGCCATGGTGACCAGACCACATCCCTCAGCCCCACAGACAGAAGAAATAGGAAGAGCCGGCTGCGGGGCAGCACCAGCAGGAGGCAGATGAGGCCCCGCGCCCCTCGCCTGAGAACCGAGGTTTTGGTCGAGAAAGCCCTCCCAGCCCCAAAGCGAGGAGGCACGCCCTGGCCAGGGGCTGCGGAACACGCTGGGCGCTGGCGGGGGTCAGGGCTCATCTTGTCCTCTCCTCCCCAGAGCTCCAGAGCTCTTCAAAGAATTAAACCCATCCTGAAAATCAAGTGCCTAAAGCCACCGGCCCCACCCCTGCCCCAGGCCTGGTCGCACCATGTGGAAGGGGGCGGTGAGGGGCACTGGACCCCTGGGCAGGGGGCCCCTGCAGCTCACCCAAGCTGCCCCACCAGGACTCACATGACAGCCACTGCTCAGCAGCCCCCCGGACAACGGTGCCCACCACCCACCTGCCTGCCAGGCACCCTCAAGGGAGGCCAGCAAGGGCACTCTCGGGGTACAGGTGGGAGAAGCGGCCGAGGGCCCAGATGGGGAAGACGTTCTTGTAGCTGTTATAGTTGATGGCACAGGACTTGTTGAAGACACCAGAGATGTTGTCCTGAAAGAACACAGAGACATAAACACAAAGGCTCTAGCAGGTGGCTAAGGGGCTCCCTGAACGGAGACTCCAGCCACAGAGCCGGCAGGCTCCCGGGGTGGGGGTGGGGGGTCCGCGGGAACCTCTGCAGGCCATTCCCCTGCTACCACCTTAGCTCTGGACCTCTCACCCTGCAGGGGACCCTCCGGCCTCAGTCACTAGCCCTTCAGAGCTGTCAACCCTGGACTCATCCAAGGGAGCGGGTCAGCCTCATGTGACCTCGTGACCGCATGCCCACAGGAAAAGGTGAAGGTGTCCTGCATTCCCTGCTGAGGCAGAGCCTGAGGGTATCCAGTGTCCTCCACCCCAGCACCAGCCCTGCCCCAGAGCCCGGGCTTCATTACAGACCTGCCTCCACCACAGGCTCTCACTGGTGGTGTTTGCAAACCTCAAGTCCCCAAAGCTAAGACCCTGCCCATGAGGAGACCATTAGGGATGCAGGGACGGGGTAGGGCTGGAAGACATTCATGCAAATCAAGGTCAGCGCTGGGCCTTGTGCTCCTCAGGCCTCCTTGGCATACCTGGGGCCAGTCGCCGCTGGGGAGCTGTTTTCTAAGCAGCCACCGGACTCCCTTCTCCAGGGCCTCTATGCAGGGATGCCTGGGGGGGAAGAGGAGGCACTGAGCGTGTCTGCCACCACTCTTTGGGGGAAAGCGCCTCTGGCTACAGCCCAACCTGCACCCTCACCCTCGGGCTGCCAGCCCGTGGAGGATGTAAAATGCTGAGTGATGACCGAACTGTCGCCGACGCACACAAGGAACTGCCGCCCACCACGAGAGTTAGCATGCTGCAGGCTGCCGCTGCACATTTTCTACCCAGAATCCCAGAGAAATGCAAAAGGCAGCCAGTGTGGAGATGAGCAGGCCAGGTAGGCAGCCCCACACACATGGCTGGTGAAGGGCCCTGCCTGCTCCAGACCTGCCCCAGGGCCCTGAACAAGATGCACTCTTTGGCTCACTCTAGGACAGAAGGAGGTGAAACTCGTGCCTGTCCAGCCCACTGGTCCTCAGGCCCCTCTGAGGGCTGTGCAAGCCACGTGTGCTAATCCTCACTAATCAAGGGAAGGGATGACACCACAGGACTGAGCTCGGCTGCTGCTCCTGCTCACACTGACCTAGTCTAACATTGAGGGAGTTTTAGGAAGATTCCCCAAATGGCCTCAAAGGCCACAGGACCGCACAGACTGGGACACTGTGCGTGTCTGCGTGTGCGTGCGTGCATGTGCGCTCTCATGTGCGTGTGTCTGGGCCTGCGCGCGCACACGGAGGCAGGAGCAGCTGCAGGGCCCTGCCTCGCCCTACAGTCTTGTCCCCCTTGTCACTCTGGGTGGTCTTCTAGAAGGCAAGCCTCTCTGCAGGAACCCCCTTGCCCTGCAGGCCTCACCTCCCACGTCTGCTCACAGCTCACCCACCCACACCCCACCCACGCTGCCTGCTCGATGCTCAGTGTCCTTCCTCCTCCTGACCCCCACCTGACGGCCATGAGCCCCATCAAGGCCCAGGACGTGTTGTGGATCTGGGACGTGGCACTCTGTATGTAACGCCGTTCCTTGCAGGACTCGAAGTCTTCCCCCCAGCCCCCGTCCGCCATCTGCTGGGATAGCAGGAAGTCACAGGCCCGGGAGACTGCCGCACACACGGCCCTGTAGACACCAGCAACACAGGAGATGCTGTCACTCCGGGGAGGTCCCAGGTCCCCACTGGCCAGGCCTCCCCAGGGGTAAGGGGAGGAGTATGGCGGGGGTGGGGAGGGGGAGGCAGTCTGACTCCGGTCCCACCCACCACATAAGGTCCACCCACCACAGAGACACCTGGCTCCTAAGTTTGCTGGGAAGATCAACTGAAAAGCTCTGTGGCTGCAGATGCCACGCAGATATGACCACCCCTGAAACCCCACAAAGCAGAGCTGGGTGAGGTGGCTGGAGACAGCTCAGACCTGAGGCCACCCTCCCATCTCTCAGCCCAGCCCAGTGGGTGTCCCACTGGGCGTGGAGGCCAGGTAAGCCCAAGGTGCCCCTCCACACACAAGCCAGAAACTCCCCAGAGGAGCCCGGCAAGACCCCAGTCCAGTGTCTTTACTAGAAGAGGTGTTGTTGGCTCATGAGCAGGAAAATAAAAACACCCCCCCCAAACTGACTTCAAAGGAAAAGACACCCCCAGCAGTGTTCTGCTGAGAAGAGCCTCACTCCAGTGGGGGCAAATGCCCACACTCACCCGCTGCGGTAAGTCTGCCCCATGCAGGCGAAAGCTTCCAGCCCGAACCAGGTGCCATAGGTGAAGCAAACTCCCCAGGAGCTGGACGAAGACAAAGGAGGGGCTCAGCCTTGTGGTCTCATTCAGATGGGTGTGCAAAACAACAGGAGTTCTGCCAGACTTTGGGAACACCCTCCATCATGGGGTCAGGGAAGCTGGCGTGATTTTCAAGAAAACCATCCAAGTGGCCAAGCGAGCAGCCAGCTCCAGTGCCTCAGGCTTTACGGCCCAGGACAAGGAAAACACACCTAACGCCTACCCCCCACCCCTCCCGCCGCTCCCGGCCCTCACGGGTTGGCTCCAGCTGCTGACGCCACAAAGCAACATGAACTGATCCACACCCAGAGGAAGCAGTGATCACAGACACGACAAACCAGGCACCAGGCCACCAAGCCCTTCCAACACACTCGGCCAAACCGCTTTAGCAGCGAGCTGAGCAAGCACCGCCAGGGTGAGGCCAGGCGTTCAAAACCAAACAAGGTCCAAAATCTGTCGCTAGAAGCTCACTCCTGGAACACATGACTGAACATCACAGGAGCACTGAAGAGCAGAGCCCTCCCGGCCCACGCACACACGCATACCCGGGAGCTCACTTACCCTTCCCAGGAGCCGTCAGCCCGCTGCTTCTGCCGACAGAACTCCAGGCCCTGCTCGAGCGTCTCCCTGGAACACAGGAGGATGGCTAACCCAACACAGCAATCCGCCCACCCCGAGCATACCCGGCCCACGGCCTCAGAAGAACCAGCAAGGTCTCCCTTACAAAAACGGGTAAAAAACAACAGTTGAGAGAAGAAATGCAAAGGTCAGAGAATAAGGGAGGAGAGGGCACAGGAGGAAGAAGCAAACTGACAGTGAAACGAAATGCAGGAGGGAAGTAAAATGTCAGTGAGGAGCAGCTACAGACACAGACTGTTGTTTCACTGCAATAACGTCACCGACACGAGCTTGAGTAAACATACAGAATGAAACTTTAAAAAGAAATGAAAAATTAGAGAGAAAATAATAGATTTTGAGGGCAGAGATTCATCCTAAGTCTAACTGGTACTTTGGGAGAATTAACTGGTTCTCTGAAAAGGCTGAAGTGAAGGTATAAATACACCCTCCAAGGTGACCCCCATGACCCTCGGGTGTGGGCAGCACCTGAGACTTGTTTCCAAACAACAGGTTGCAGCCAAGTTGATGGGACATCACTTCCGTGACTCAGGCACAGGGAAGTCTAGCTTCTGTCTTGCAAGCAGACTCCCTGGCCCTTCCCGGCTTCATGAGATGCCACAGAGGTGCCCAGATGGCAAGAAACTGAGGGTGGCCTCCAGCCAATGGTCAGAGAGGAAATGGGACCCTGAGGCTGACATTTTGCAATGAATGGAAACCTGCCAGCAATTACATGAAACTCCATAAGACCCTCCCTTTGCCGCTGCTTGGACGAGACCCCAGTCCTGGCCAGTATCCTGGCTGCAGCCCCGTGGGACGTGCAGCCGAGCGCCTGGCTAGGCTGTGCCTGGGTTCCCGACGCACAGAAACTGTGAGGCAACAGACATGTGCTGTTTGAAGCCACCAAGTTTTAGTAATGTTGTGACACAGCAAGAAATAACAAAGGATGAAGGGACAAAAATAATACTAGCGACCAGAGTGATGTGACAAGTATAGTGGAAACTAAAAGAGAAAATAAGAAAACTTGACGCAGCATATGGGAAAACTTAGAATGCACAAACTACTGGGAAAGTAGCTTCTCAAAACTGTCTCAAGCAGAGAGGGAGCCTGGATGGTTCTACAACTACTAAAGACAGGAGTTGTAGATTTAAACTTTGCCCAGAAAAAGAAGTTGAGGCCTAAAAGTTTAAAAGATGAGTTCTACGGGGGCGCCTGGGTGGCTCAGTCAGTTAAGCACCCGACTTTGGCTCAGGTCATGGTCTCGCAGTTTGTGGGTTCGAGCCCCACATCGGGTTCTGTGCTGACAGCTCAGAGCCTGGAGCCTGTTTGGGATTCTGTGTCTCCTTCTCTCTCTGCCCCACCCCGGCTCATGCTCTCTCTTTCTGAAAAATAAATAAAAACTATAAAAAAAAAAAAAGATAAGTTGTACTAACTCACCAAGAATGATCATTCTACTGTTACACAGACTCTTCCAGGAAACACAGGAGGAAGGAACACCCCTGTTTATTCAGCAAACCCAAGAGACCATATAAACATGATGTAGTAGCAAAACACAATTTTCAGGCTATTGATTAATGAACGCAGATGCAAAATTCAAATCTAAGTATGAAGAAACCGAATACAGTAGAGATATGCCAATACTAAGTTAGGTTTATCCCAGAAACACTCAGGTATTTTAACATTACAAAGACTACAATAATCATCTATAACATTAACATATAAAAGAGTATGTTTTTCATCTCAACAGCGACAGAAAGATCATTTCCTAAATTACAACACCCATTCACAACAGAGGGAAAAAACAACTTAACGAAGTAGGAATTAAAAAGAACTTTGTCAGGGGTGCCTGGGTAGCTCACTTGGCTGTATCTAACTTCAGCTCAGGTCATGATCTCATGGTTCATGAGCTGGACCCCCATGTCAGGCTCTGGTGCTGACAGCTCAGAGCCTGGAACCTGCTTCAGATTCTGTCCCTATCTCTCTGCCCCTCCCACACCCCCTCAAAAGTAAACGTTAAAAAAAAAATTAAAAGGGGCTCCTGGGTGGCTCAGTCAGTTAAGTATCCGACTTCAGCTCAGGTCATGATCTCACAATTCATGAGTTTGAGCCCCACGTTGGTGACAGCTTGGAGCCTGGAGCCTACTTCAGATTCTGTGTCTCCCTCTCTCCCTCTCTGTCCCTCCCTTGCTCATGCTCTGTCTCAAAAATAAACATTAAATTAATTAATCAACTAATTAATTAAAAAATGAGAAAGTTCAGCTCTGCAAAAGACACTGTTAACAGAATGAAAAGACAAGCCACAGACTGGGAGAAAAATCTTTGCAAAATACATACTTGACAAAGGACTGCTATTCAAAATATATTCAAAATGTCCTGAAATGTGACAACAGGACAACCCAATTAAGAATGTCCAAGAGATGTGAACACACACCTTACCAAAAAAGATATACAGGCGGCTGATAGATGTATGACAAAGCGTTCAACATTGTATGTCTTCAGAGAATTGCAGATTCAAACGAGATAACACGACATACCCATTAGAATGGCTAAAATCCAAAACACTGACCACCCACATCCAATGCTGGCACGAAACAGCACCAGAAGCTCTTCTCCATTGCTGGTGGGAATGCAAATGATACAGTCACTTTGGAAGACAGTTCGGTAGTTTCTCACAAAACTTATGTACTCCTACCATATGAACCAACCCTATGCTCTCTGGCTGAAAACATGTCCACACAGGGGCGCCTGGGTGGCTCAGTCAGCTGGGCGTCCGGCTTCGGCTCAGGTTATGATCTCACAGCTTCTGAGTTCAAGCCCCGCGTTGGGCTCTATGCTGACAGCTCAAAGCCTGGAGCCTGCTTTGCATTCTGTGTCTCCCTCTCTCTCTGCCCCTCCCTTGCTCACACTCACTCTCTTTTTCTCAACAATAAATAAAGAATAAAAAAAATTTTTTTAAGAGAAAAAAAAATATGTCCACACAAAAAGCTACACAGGAATAATTATAGCATGTTTGTTTATAATTAGTAAACTGTGGAAGATACCACTTAATAATAGGTAAATGGATAAACTATGGCACATCTGTATATTATTTACACTAAAAAAGATAAAATTAAAAGGAGAAACAGACCCATAAATACAAAGAATGGTGCTTGCCAGAGGGGAGGGGGTCAGGGGCAGGGCAAAATGGGGAAAGAGGAGTGAGAGGTACGAGCTTTCAGTCATGGAACGAGTATCAGTGTGATGAAAGGGATAGCACAGGGAGCTGAGTCGGTGGTACTCTAACAGTGTTACATGGTGACAGATGCGTCATGTAGACACCTACGGAATACGAAATCCGCTATGTTGTATGCCTGAAAAGACTGCTGATGTACGTCAACTACACTTCAAGAAAAAAAAATCCAAGCCATGGAAAGATCGTGAAGAGGGGTGCCTGGGTGGCTCAGTCAGTTAAGCATCCAGCTTCGGCTCAGCTCGTGATCTCACATTTCATGAGTTTGGGCTCCACACTGGGATCTGTGCTGACAGCTCGGAGCCTGGAGCTGCTTCAGATTCTGTGTCTCCCTCTCTCTCTGTCCCTCCCCTGCTCATGCTCTGTCTCTTAAAAAATAAATAAAAACATTTAAAAAAAAAAAAAGAAAAAGGGAAGAAACTTAAATGTATATCACTAAGTGAAAGAAGCAAATCAACCGTGACAATCTGGAAAAGGCCAAACTATAGTGATTGCCGGAGTTGGAGGGAAGGGGAAGGATGAATGGGCACAGGATTTTGGGAGCAGTGAGATGTTTCTATATGATAATGATGAACACATGTGTTAGAGATGTGTCACAGCCCATGGAATGTGCAACACAAAGAGTGAACCTGAATGTAAACCATGGACTTTGGATAATAACACTGTATCCATATTGGTTCATCAATTGTAAAATAAGGAACCAATTTATGCAAGATGGGGTAGGCGGTGGAAGGGAGAGTGGTAAACAGGAAGCATCCACTCAATTTTCCCGCAAACCTAAAACTGCTCTATAAGATAAAGTGCATCAAATTTTTAAGTTCAGCAAATTGTCTAGCTATAAGATCAGTATCAAAAATCAAGTGCAGAGGGGGCGCCTGGGTGGCTTAGTCGGTTAAGCATCCGACTTTCGCTTGGGTCATGATCTCACGGTTCGTGGGTTCGAGCCCCGCGTAGGGCTCTGTGCTGACTGCCAGCTCGGAGCCTGGAGCCTGTTTTGGAGTCTGTGTCTCCCTCTCTCTGACCCTCCCCTGCTCACGCTGTCTCTCTCTCTCCTAGAAATAAATAAAAACATTAAAAAAAACTTAAAAAAAAAAAAATCAAGTGCAGAGGACTCTGGGAAGGTGGCAGAGCAGGAAGCCCTAGGAACCTGTCTCCCACCGGGGCACCAGCTGTACCGGCAGCACCTCGTCTGCTGTAAGTCTGTCCGAGACTTGCAGCTTCCAGGGTGCTGCCTGGAGGGTCAATTGTAGCTCTCAGCACGGCAGCTGCTACACATCTCCCAACGCCAGCGCTTGGCAGCTGGTGTGCACCTACTCCTGGAGCAGCTTACACAGAGCTTATGGCACCTGGGTGGACAAAAAAGACCCTGTCTTCCAAATATTGAGCACTTGTGCTCTGATTGCTGCTTCTGATCAGACACTGCTGCACCTCCCCCTCTGGCTAAAACGTGGAAGCAACCCAAGTGTCTATCAACAGATGAATGGACAAGTAACATGTGGTCTATCTATACAATGGAATATTATTCAGCCTTAAAAAGGAACTTTGGGCACAAATCAAAACATGGGTGAACGTTGAGGTCATTATGCTCAGTGAAATAAGCCTGTTGGGTAAAGTCATCAAAAAGGCATGACTCCCAGCTGACCGGTAAGCTGGACCTTGGCACTTGGGAGGCTCCTCACCGCCTCCCGTGTCCTGGGGATGTGGGTTCCACTTGCCTTTCTGGCTACAAGAGGCTGCTCCAAGGACACAGCCTGGAGGTGGTGATGTGGTGCTGAGAACTTCT